ATATGATATGATTTGGGGAGCTGGGGAAGCTACTTTAAAACTACCCATTATTTAAAGTAGTTAAACAACAGTCAAACCCCAAAGCTACTAATAAAAGCAGTGCAATTATTTAAAAGGACAAAATCTTTTTTAAACTGTCACACTGAACACATGACAAACTCACATTATCTCAGTAATTAACTACAATTTTAAAAAGCAATTGTATAGTTTAACTGCAGACGTCACTAGAGAGAATCCCAGTGTACCTTTAAATCTGTGTTAAAGTAAACCTAAAGTAAAACTATTAAAAATGATTTTTGTTAATTGAAATTAAGCTAAAAATAAAGTGTAAATATTAGATGAAAAACATGAATTAACACAGAATTAAAATTATTATTGAAACTTAAAAACGAAAATCAGAAATGTTAGCTTGGCAAATTACAAAAGTACACAGCACAATAACTAAAACTTAAACTAATATTTTATAATATTTTAATAGTATATAAATAATACGAAATAACACTTATTTGAATTGAACAGATACATTTACATTAATACAAATTAATGACAAGTTAAAACTAGAACTCATTTACATAACAGCCAAACAATAATTTACTAAATATGTATTTATTTATGAACCATTTTAATTTCATTGAGATACTAATATAGTTTATTAATATTTGGAATCAGATTTTATTTTTATATTTTCTGTTTTCATTTTAAGTGTTAGTAATTTTGTTGTGTGTCTTTGCCATTTTTGTAGTTTTGTTTTATACGTCTATACAGTTTTTATGAATTTTTATTTCAGTTTTAGTTATTTTAGTACAAGTTAAACTAAATTCAAATAAATGTAACCTTTGCAACTAGCTCAAATAAAATTTTGTCTATATTTTGTTTTATTTCAATGAATGTTATTTCAAGTAATGACAATGTTTTTAATGGTTTTACTTTTAGTTTTAGTTAACTATAATAACCCTGGATCGAACAAACAATGAATTACTGAATCAGTTATCCGAACTGTCCCTGAAAACATCGCTCCCACTAATATTACCTGCCTCTGACTAGTTAGTATAGATAACTATGTGAGTGCAACTTAAAAGGGATAGTTCACCCAAAAATGAAAATGTGATGTTTATCTGCTTACCCCCAGGGCATCCAAGATGTAGGTGACTTTGTTTCTTCAGTAGAACACAAACAAAGATTTTTAACTCAAACCGTTGCAGTCAGTCATATAATGGAAGTGAATGGGAATCACGGCTTTGAGAGTCAAAAAAACATACACAAACAAAACCAAATTAAACCCTGCGGCTCGTGACCATACATTGATGTGTAAACACTAGAAACTGTATTTATATAGTTTTTTTTTTACCTCTGATTCATTTAATGTATCGTCACGAGCCGCAGGGTTTAATTTGGTTTTGTTTGTGTATTTTTTTTTTTTTATTCTCAAAGCCGTGATTCCCATCCACTGATATTATATGATTGACAGACTGCAACGGTTTGAGTTAAAAATCTTCGTTTGTGTTCTACTGAAGAAACAAAGTCACCTACATCTTGGATGCCCTGGGGGTAAGCAGTAAACATAAAATTTTCATTTTTGGGTGAACTATCCCTTTAACTACTTCAAACTTGCTTTCCCAACACTATTTCTAAGCATGTTACCATTTTGCATCTGATCCATGCGACACAAACGGCCTCTTTTTCTCACCGTCTCTCGTTTTTCCTCCAGCTGTTGCTCTGAGATGCATGTGTTTTTGCGCTCCTAATGTGCTAAAGAGCATGTGAGACTAATCTAATTACAGCGTCGCTCCAAAAGAGAGGTTGAAACTGTTACCAATCTAAAACCCACAAATGGAGAGACCCCGCGCCGTATCCCAGCATCCTCGACGCCCCTCCTCTCGCTCTTGTCTCGACAGTGAATTGGTTTGGCCCCTACAGTGCTTCATTACCTGGCCTAATTATAAAGGCAAATGAAATCAGCCCCGCAATACATTATTAATGTCCGCACACCATTAGGATTCAATTGCAGTATTTGCAACAATATGATATTTTCAAACTGTTTTCACGCCTGATTAGAAACGAGGACAGATAAAAGGGAGGTGCAAGAGGAAAGAGAGAGATAGTGAAAGAGGAAGGTGAGCACAGAGGAGAGAGTGATGAAAACTGAGAGAGAGAAGCCGTATATGAAAGACGGCTAAATGAATACTGCAAAAACAGACAGACGAAAGACGTGATGAAACAAAGAACGACAGACTGAAAAAGAAAGATGTGAAATGTGCCATAGTTCTGACCTTTAACATTAGAAAACAAGCACAAGTCAACATGTGTTTGTGCTGTGACCGATCTCAATAGTCTAGCAATACTTTCCAATGCATAAATGAGATCTCATTAACGTCTCAATTGTTTCTCCAAGCAACGAGCAATCAGTCTAAATGGAAATTTTCACTTAAAGGAATAGTTAATCCAAAAATGGAAATTTACTTAATATTTGCTCACCGTCAGGCCATCCAAGATGTAGATGAGTTTGTTTCTTCTTGGGAACAGATTTGGAGAAATTTAACATTACATGACTTGCTCAGCAATGGATGCTCTGCAGTGAATGGGTGCCGTCAGAATGAGAGTCCAAACAGCTGATAAAAACATCACAATAATCCACAAGTAATCCACACCACTCCAGTCCATCAATCAACGTCTCATGAAATGAAAAGCTGTATGTTTGTAAGAAACAAATCCATCATTAACACATTTTTAATCATTCAAATGAGTCCTCAATTCATAATATTGCTTTCTCCATTGAAAAAGTCGTTTCGCCTGAATCAGGAGAGAAATATGCACAGATCAAGCACGATTTACAACCATAAACAGTCCAAAACACTACTAAACAAATATGTCAGTAGATTTTGGCGAGAGAGGACCACAGGAGATGGACTTTTTCACTGGAGGAAGAACTATTATAGATTATGGACTAGGCTATTTTAACCGGAAGTGATGGTTTAAAGTTAAAATACCTTGGTGATAGATTTGTTTCTTACAAATATGCAGCTTTTCACATCATAAAATGTTAACTGATGGACTGGAGTGGTGTGGATTACTTGTGGATTATTGTGTTTTTGTTGATTGCAGACCTCAGTATTTACGATACTAAAGTCTAAGATCTCAATATGAGCTTGAAATATTTCTCATTAAACTCTCAAATGATCTCAGCTGTGATCCACATTCATGGTGGTCGACCATAGGGTCAATTTCCATTTCATGCCGACTTTATGATTACAAGGTCACAAAAAAAAAAAATCGAAATAAAACATGTATGGATTAATAATTATCAATAAGATCAATAACATGCATTAAGAATATAGACTGAGTGAATTTTCATTTCATGCTGACTTTAAAAATAAAACCAACCTACAAAGACATTCAAAGACAGCCAAGTCTTTACAAAATCTTCCGAAACAGCCACTGTTTGGTGATATACAGGGGAAAAAAAGTTTATATATGTGCTTGTGCATGTTTAATATGATCTGCAGACTATCAGAAGTCTCTCAGGTCATATGAGCTGATGCGGCCGCATACAGGGTGACAGACAGCGGCCTGCGTCCTCCATCGCCTCCCTCCATCACTGCTGACTTAAGTGGCTAAGCAGCCATGAATAGAGATGGGCTCTCAGAGAGGAGGTCTCATAATTATTAGTTTTAGAGCCTTTTCTCAGATATCCCGCGGGAGCAATGGGGTTAAAAATCCATTTGTGGGAAGTGTAGCATGACAGCAAGGCACGGTCTCCATGGAGACAGCCGACATCACACAGCAGTGTGTGTGTGTGTGTCATGTATGTGTGTTTATGTCTGTGTGTGTCATACGTATAGAGTGCATTGGTATGGTGTCTGTTTTTGTAGCCATGAACAAACCTACTCTAAAAAACAGGCTCTGCCGAAATTTTATAAATAATACAAATAAATAAAATATACATATGAAATATATGAGATTATCAAAAAATCATAATGTTGAAAAATGTAAAGCTTTTTGTCATTTTTTTATTTGGATATATACAGTATATATATATATATATATATATATATATATATATATATATGATGTACCATAGTAATTTTTATGTAAGGGTTACAAGTGAATGTGAAATATCAAACTAATCAGCAATCTACACAATCTTTTGATTGTCACTGCATATAAGCTCACAGATTCATACTGTTCCTCATAATGCAGCCATGGCATCTGAGCTCGACCCTCCAAGGGGCGCCCGGGGGTTTTGCTCAAGGAGCTCCACTGAAAGAGTTACTCTAGCATTTGACAACATGACTAACTAAGCCAGTCGATTGCACTAAAAAAAAGCCTCAGTGAGTAGTCAATGGGGCGTCCCAGACCAGGGACCATTTCAAAGCAACTGTGCGCCTATGTAAAAATACGGCCCGGCTGATACACTGAACTTTTGCCAGCTAGCTATAGAAGAAAACAAGGTAAGTGTGGTATTTATTGACATGCCAATACTTTAGCAGCTTTAGAATTTCTGTATGTCTGTCTGACAAACTTTTCATTTCCACTCTGGAAAGGTCTTTCATGGCATGGTTATTATCATTAAATAAGACTAAAACCTTTAAAAATAAACATTAACTGAAACAAAATATTTTTTTAAACCTTTTAGCTAGTTTCCAAAGCATAATTTCCTATTTTTGTTTAGTTTAAGTACTAAAATATATATTTTTTAATTAAATTAAAAATATATTTTTTAGCTTAAAACTATATAGACACAATACATACAAAAAACTAAAATAAATAAATAAATAAATAAAAATGACAAACACACACACACACACACACACACAACAATTAAAAATAAACTCAAATTCAAAATATTACAAAAAAATTGTACTAGTATATCAATGCTACTACAATAACACTAATTCATTGAAACTACTATAGTCTGTGGCGGTAATGATTTCTCTTCTACCATTACTGAAAGAAAGCAAACGACTGAGTAAGTTGAGTAAGATTGTAACAGTTGATCTTACTTTGATTCCGTCTTGCCATGAATGCTCTCGTTGCATGTCTTCAGCCTCTCTAGCCAACCTCTGAAAGAAAGAAAGAAAGAAAGAAAGAAATGTCAAAGGTTAAGAATCATGAGTAACAGTACAATAATGACCTGAAGTCTGAACTTGTTCCATCATTTTGGGTCACTTCGACTCAGAAACACACAAGTTTTGTGCTTTCAAGTAAAAATTGAATGATTATTTTTACATCTCTACTTCAGACTGTTGCAGACGCATCATTATTCAAATGATGGATGAGACTGTGCTTTTTATTTCAGAGCTTAAAACTCCAAAGTGTTTCTGGGTCAAAGTGATTCAAAACATTTTCAAACACTTTTTTTCAAACACATTTTAAAAAGGTCTGAGGTGTGAGAAATGCATTTTTATACGTACAAATATTCCATGAAGTTTTTCAATTAATATGAGCTCATGCTGCACGAGTAATTATAATAATTATAAATAAATTAGCACATGATTTTAATCAATTTAGATGAAGTACAGCACATTAAACTGCAGGAAATGCTTTTCAAAAGTATCTGTCAACTAGTTTCATTGGTAGCAAAAGGAGAAACACAAGAGTACATATTTTATCTGCAATAAAATGCAATGCAATTAATGCAATTCATCTATAACAACATGCATTATAGTATTATTTTCTGCAAATGCTGCCTAATCAGTTTATTTACTTCATTGCAACGTATAAAAGGAAAAAAATACATTATAAATTAGCATAAAATTGCTGCAATGGAATCCTACAAATCTTATATAAAGTGTTTGATGTATTGTTTTTAACGTAGGATAAATCGTCTCTTGACACCGTTCTCAGAACACGTGGGCCGCTCAGCATGTTATAGATTCATTACATGCGTCACCATCATTGAAAAGCTCCAGCTCTACAGAAACAACCCACTCCTCTGTGCTAATGGTGATAAGTCACTTCAACCTGCTCAATGTGTCAGGAAACTTTCCCAGAAAGTCCGTGTGACAGATGTTTCACAGAAATCTACATTCATGAACAGATTCATTTTCCACTCCACTGACTCACAGGCTGCTGCACAATTTGCATTCTTCTACTACACACTAAGTATGTACTTCACTGATAATGGCAAGTATGTACTTTTGAGTATGTAGTAAGACAAAGTATGGAAGTATTGGGACATACAGCAGTATAGTCATCAAATTGTGTTTTCAAATGAAATAAAAAAGTTTTTTGTTGCACACTATTTGTGTTTGCATGTAAGTTTAGCATCTGCATTATTTTTCAATTCATCATTCATTTTTAGGTTCACACATCTAAAAGTGCTTCTTGAAATGTCTTCCGAAACATCTGACACAAAATAACCATCTCTAATCATAGCACACCATGATTTGGGTAATATTAGCCAATAAAGTACATTTCATTATTTTCTACAGCTCAACAATATACTAAAGTACCAATGGTGTTACAGTACAAACAATTTTAGGCTGCATCCTAATTTGCGTATACTATGCATTCTTTGTAGAATGCAAAATTAGCATTAGTGCATTCTTAATCATATTTTTTGATGGAGTCCTAATTAGTAACAAACACTAATCAATATTAGTTTAAACACCATGCATATTATGAAAATACTGAATCAATCAATATGATTTAGGATGCACTGATGCTAATTTTGCATACTTATAAGAATGCACAGTAGGCAAATTAGGATGCAGCCTAATATTTTAAAGTGAGATGTGGGATATTCCTACTTATAATTGTATGCTACTGCAATTTTCTAAATAGGATGCAGGTAATTCCGAGTTGCAGCAACAGACTTGATCGCAGTCCAACATGTTGCCGTCTAAAGTGTTTAACTGGCTGTATATTGATTGCATCAGCACTTATAATTGGTTAAATGTGGACCATGCAAATGTTATAAGAAGCTGATCCTAGTAAAACTGTGGAAAAGATGCTCTCCCCATCTGGCAATAAAGAGTAGAGTTTTTATCTCACCTATGCAGTTCTCACTTCCTGTGCTCATGAAGGAGAAACGAACACCTGACAGCTTTAGACGGCACCACAGATCAGTGAGTTCGCCCGGATAGAGACGGAGGAAAGTTTGCAAAAGTTTTTCTCACTAATAATGTTCAGACTTGTGTCTCCAGAGTTTGAACAAGCTGTTCTTCTAACGAGAGCCACATTGGTTGAGGTTCACAGTTGAGATGTCAGCAAAATAAAGAATGGACAACAGGACTTGAAATTCTCCTATTTCTTTCCCATACAGGGTAACAAAAAAATGCTTGAAAAATTCAGAACTAAAGAATCGGCTCCCTTTCAATTCATGAGCGTGTTGAACTGTTGAACTGGAATTTGAAACTGAATGATTGATATGGGAATTTACAGTACTATAATTTAAAGAAATTCATTCAGATGCATTTAGGGAAATTAAATGTCTGTCAATCTATCTGTCCATTCATCCATCTATCTGAGATTCAAAGTTTCAAAACTTTACTTTTCTAGATAAATGAATTTCTTTGGAATTTAATTCATTAGGGCCCAAGCCATTAGCCAAGTTCCCCTAAGGATTATTATTAGGGCCCGAGCACCAATGGTGCAAGGACCCTCTCGGAATTGAAGTAAAATATACCTATATAAAAGGTATATTTTTATTTAGGTATATTTATTTTTTTATTTAAATATGTATTTATATGTAATATTTATATATATATTTTTTTTTTTTTTTGCAATTTATTTTGGATGTGTTAAAAACATAATTAATCAAATAAATAAATAAGTCAATCCAACAATCAATCAATCCACTTGAACAACCTGATTGTATAAAACCAGAATTATACTAACATATTAAAAATAAGAAGGAAAAAATATTTCTGATGTGAAAGCACTACTGAATTTGAATTCCTTTTAATTCTTATTACATTCAAATTCAAAATGCAATTCTGCAAGGCACTCTTAATTCAGTTCTGAATGGTGCACAACCCTGATAAATCATGGGTTATATTCGTGGGCACCAGACAAACTGATAAAATATACCTTGAATGCAGTCTTGAATTGAAGTCCAAAGAATCTGTCAAATGCATATACACAAGCTTTCTTTTTTGCCTTTTTGGATAAGAGCAGCATGGACATTGTTCTAAATATCTCCTTTTGTGTAGCACAGAAGAAAGGAAGGTTTGGAACAACATGAGAGCGAGTAAAAGATTAGCCAGAATATTCCATTCTGGGTGAGCTACGGCTTTAATCATGCATGGGAGCATGATATTGTTTTCCATCTCCATTTTCGGACACCATCGGACGTAGCACAATCAGAGCAGCTCCCACACAGGTGATTCATGCTCTCTTCTATCTCTCAAGAACCTTCTTGTTTTTCGTGATTCTCCTGGGGAGATTCACCTGATCTGCGTCCAGACTCACCCACGAACACCTGCCGCCCGTCTCCGGGCTCAAAAACTCCCACTCGTTTCCACTGGGAATGAGAGCAGACTTCCAGACAATCTCCTTCACTCGACTCTCAACAAAAGAGCACTCATAAAAAGCCTTTGAAAATATCAGTTACATACCTTTCATTGACTGCATTCGAAAGCTTTCAAACTGCGGCTTAAACGACTAATAGACTGGCTGCGGTAATGAACCTAATGTTAGAGAAATAACAGAGCCAGCGTTTGAGAGGTGAGTCTAATTCAAGGGCAGTTGCGTTTAATGGCTACACCATTAGGAGTAATGTAAGTGCCAAATGACACTCCACTCCAGGATGCCAATTCAAACCGTATTAAACACTATGTCTTATTGACCAGATTTGCGTGAGGGACATTATACCCATCTATACGCCATCATATGCTTTTCGTGCATTTTAAGTCACAGTTGTGCTTATAAGTAAGATTATAAGTAAGACTTCTATTTAATACGAAACAAACTGGTCTAAGTATGTAATTTCTGCGCCACTAGCAGCATTAAATGGAATTGCAACGTTTGGCAGCGATCAGTATTACTGCAATTCTGTTTGGTGCCATTAGATGAGGAAAAAAAATTAACTTAAATGATTTTAGCAAATGGCTGCAATATAACAAAGAGTGAAAAATTTAAGGGGGTCTGAATACTTTCCGTACCCACTGTATAGTGTATAAGCTGCTAAATTCAAAATATGGGGTAGGAATTAGTAAAAATGAGCGAAATCGAAGTTTTAATGTGTGCATTGTGTATGAAGTATCCAGAAAAACACATTTTGATCTAACAATTTAGACTGAAACACATTTTAATAAATCAGATTTAAATAAAATTCACTCCACACAGGAATTTGGTTTGACACATATCTATTTATTTATTTACTGTTTTTTTATATTAATATTATTATTATAATTTTCAGACTATGAACAACAAAATGGATTTGTGTCAGAATGGCAAATAAATCAAAGTCAAACAATAAATAAATAAATAGCCACCTGGAGAAATCAACAAAAGAAAACAGAACTGTATTATTTTATTTTATATTGTTTTGTTTTATATTTCATTTTATTTTTATTGTTTGCTTTTTTAGACTACAAACAACTACACTGAATACATTTGGAAAGGCTGAATAAATAAACAAACAAATACAATTTGAAATTTGTTTTACTTTATTTTATTGTCCGTTTTTCAGACTACAAACAACTAAATTGATTAAAGCTTGAAAGGCATAATAAATAAATAAATACATTTTATTTATTGTTTTGTTTTCAAACTACAAACAACTAAATTGATTAAAGTTGGAAAGGCAAAAAAATAAAAAATAAAGTAATATATTAAAGGGTTTGTTCACCCAAAAATGAAAATTCTGTTATCTTAAATTGTGTTCCGAAGATGAAGGTCTTACGGGTTTCGAACAAGACGAGGGTGAGTAATTAATGACAGAATTTTCATTTTTGGGTGAACTAACCCTTTAAATACATAAATAGTCACCTGGATTATTAGCCACCACTATCAAAACCAGCTTACTTGTGAAAGTGCTACAATTTAATGCAACAGATTGTCTACACTAACCTCCTAACTGGCTCGGTTACACAAAGCTGCATGTGAAAGACTGTAT